ACAGAGTGAGTTCCAGGACAGCCAGGGCTACACAGAGAAACCTGTCTCAGAAAACCAAGGGGGAGGGAGATGGGGATTAGGTCAGATGTGTAGAGGAAGAAAGGAGGGAGAGATAAGCCTGCTGCTGGGTATGGTAGCCACTCCTGGTCTGTAGATGGCTCGTGCTCCACGCCCCTGTTTCCTCCCCACTCCTTGCAATGCAACATCTCCACTCCTGGAGAGCCCTAGGCTCACTTTTTGAGGACAATAGTACCCACAGCAGGCCATTCCTAATTGGGCCCTGTGCTACTTCATGGAACCTCCCCCCTGCAGGGGTGAGGAGCTCCCTACTTTGTGCAGTACACCTAGACTCTCGGGCTGGGGCCCTGCCCCTCACACACACTGCCGGCTAGGCCTAGCATTGCTGACCACCCATCCTGTCCTGTGGCCACCCCCTTAATTGCCCGTGTGCCACCTTCAGAGCCTCCCAACTTGTTTGGAACCCGGAACACTCCTTTATTCCCCAATGATTTCAAGGCCCGGCCTAGTGCTGAGCACTCTACCAACTAGGCTCTTTTTTCCCTTCTACAGGAGGCCGCTGGGCCTGGGGGCTCCCGGGCTATCAACAATCTTCGAAGATCTAACAGCACTACACAGGTCAACCAGTCATGGACCAGCTCCCCCAGGTAGCCTATCGTGACTCCAGGTCACCCGTAACCGCCACCTACCCTTCTTCCAGCCTTTCCTCCAGCTCTGTCAGTCACGGTCTTTGCTGAGCTGTGGGGTTTGGTGACCTTCACACTGTTTGGCCTTGGTGTCCCACTCTGTTGTCTTGAGCTAGGAGGGTCAGGGGCAGCCAAGAGTGTTCATTCTGTCCTGCTACATCTGCGAGACATTAGACCCTGGACCCTCTCGGTAGGTCCCACCTGCTCCTCCACCTTTTTCTCCTACCTTCTCAGCAGTACTCAGTGAGATTGGTAGTGCAAGTGAGGTTGCCTGTGAGCCTTTATCTACACATCTTTCAGCTGTAGCCTCTCCTGCCCTTTGGATGTCAAAACCCACTGTTAGTGGGGACATCAGTATTGGGACGTTTCTAAGTCTTCCCTTGGACCCCATGCCTGTCTTCAACCAGCATAGCTGTCTTGGAAGCTCAGTGATGGGGAGGCCAGCAAAGAGCCAGCAGTGGCCAGGGCTACTGAGCTGAGAGGGACCAATGAGGCCCTCTTGCATGAATTGCCCTAGTGAGACCCAGTCACATACTCACAGGTTCTGAGCCAACAGAGGTGGACCCTCCCCTGGGAACATGGGAGCTGTGCTAACAGCAAATAGCCTCAGCCTCACAGTGTCCACTAAGCAGCAACCTCAGGGCCCAAGATGGGACTGTTGCTGAGACAGCGTGCCAGTTTCTCAGGATGTCCACTCTTCCAAATTGCAAGTGGCTGAAAATTCAGGATCTCTTGGGGGTGTGGGGTGGGCACATGTGTGTCAGTGTTAGAAGTGGGGTGTATGGGGGGGCTGTACATGCGCTTCATGTGTGGCATTCATGGTTTGTGGTGTGTTTGTGTGGTATAGATGATATGAGTTATAGGTGTGTGGTGTGTATAACGGGGTGGATGCATATAGTGTGTGTGTGTCTGTGTGTGTGGTGTGGTTATATTCATTAAATAACATCCAAGAAAACCGTTGCAGACATACCTGCACTTCTCCCGCTGGTGGAGAGCAGGCCTGGTTGTGTTAGCAATTGAATGTCTGGCTTAGTTTCTCCTGTTGGTTCTGATAAAATACCCTGACAAAAGCCATCTAAAGAAGAAAGTGTTCATTCTGGCTCATAACTCAGGGATCCAGTCCATCACCACATGGGTCTAGTCCCTCACTGCCGAGAAGTTAGGACAGCGGGAGCCTGAAGTACCCGATCATATCGCCTCTGCAGTTGGAGGAAGTCAGTGGGTGCACACTGCTCTGCTTCCTTTATCCCTGTGTTTACTCCAGGATCCCGGTCGGTCGAGGAATGGTGCTACCCACATTGGGAAGGAAAAGTGGGCTTATCTCCCTACTTCACATTAATGGATCACAGATAATCTCACACAGTCACACTCCAACACCCATTTCCCAGGAGAGTGTAGATTTTGTCAGGCTGACAACAAACTCCAGAACAACTCCACCCCTCATCAGCATGATACCCAAATATATCACTTAAGCCATACTCTCCCACTCCTGATCGACATAGGTTCCTGACCACGTTATAATATAAAATGCTTGCGTTCCAACTTTAAAAGCCCCTGTAGTCTGTCACAGTGAACTCCTGTAAAATAAAAAACACGTCAGAGCACAGAGTGAGACTTCTGTTCCAAAATGGAAAACAGGGCATAAGGAGAAACAGTCACATCAATGCAAACCCACAACCCAGCAGGGCAAACAGTGAGTATTGCAGCCATATCTGGCATTAGTGTGTTCAGCTGGGCTCCAGAAGCCTTGTTTTCCCCACACACATTCTGGGGTCTTCACCAAGTCATCTTTATACGTAGCTTGCTCAAGTGCCCCATGCAACCTCACTGCACACAGCCTTGTTGGCCCTATTGTAACTCTGGCGTTCTGCATGCTGTAATACTACCGCCATGTAGTCAGCACCAAGTTCTGCCAACTCAAGACACTTTACAGGGCCTCAGCAGTTAAATGCAAAAAATGTGTCCCTAGCTGGTTGTTTGGAGCAGGGCCTCCTGAGGCTCTGCATGGTTTTTTTTTTTTTTTTTTTTTTTTTTTTTTTTTTTTTTCCTTGAGCGGGGGTGGGGGTGGGGGCCAGAGTTCAGAATAGGATGTCAGATTCCTTGGACCTAGAGTTAGGGCTGGTTGTAAGCTGCCTTGTGGGTACTGGGAACTAAACCTGTGTCCTTTGCAAGAGCAGCAGTGCTCTTAACCACTGAGCCATCTCTCCAGGCCCACGAACCCTTTTGAACTTTGATTCACATTTTCATATCCTGGAGCCTTTGACAGTGCAGTCCGCCTTCAAGGAACTTTTCCTGTTGCCTGGTGCAAAGTTTGAGTGTTTTCACCATAGCTACTTCATGTGATCCTTTCCCCAGCTCCTTCCTCACCTGCTGCTCTGTGTTCTTAAAAGTCCTCTGCTTTTTTTCTCTTTTCTCAATTTTCAATGTAAGTCTGACTAAAAGTCTCAGCTTGGATGCTATGTTGTCATGAAATTTCTCCTGCCAGATAAATTGATCTATTGCTTTTGAATTCAGCCTCACCTAAAATTCAAGGACTCCAGCAAAATGTAGCCAGATTTGTTGCTACAGTGTAACACAGATAGCCTCCATTTGAGTTAAGGTCCTTGCTTGCAATTGAAGCCCCATGAGCTGTGTCTACTGTTGATATTTCCATCGGCATCTGCTCACAGCATCCTAAGGCTTCTCTTACCTGCAGCCCCAAACTTCCAAATCCCTCCCACGAACCAGTTTCCAAGGCCGATATGGTTATGTTTATCACAGCAATGCGCCCCCCCCCCACTCTTTTGTACCAGTTTTCTGTATTCCTTAAGCTTTGCATGGCTGTCACCAGACAGCAGGAGCTCATGGGGACAGACAAGAAATGGGAGGAGCTCAATGTTTTGGAAATGGAATTTTTGGGAGTGGTGGTGGTGGGGGCTGGCTGGTAGAAGTGTGTCAGTAAGGGTGGGCCTACTGTCTCATGTCTCTGTACCCATGCTTATGAAATGATGACTTGGATAGAGTAGAGCCATGCTTGTTCTCAGGCCTGTGGCCCTCTCATCCTTGTTTCTTTGTGACTGCCCACTTCACCAGCCTCAATGTCCAGGAGAGTCTTGCTTATTTCTTGCTAGGTTATCTAGGGCCTTCCAGTCCCTGCTGTTGTGTACTGGGTCTCCTTCCCCCTGTTTCTGGTGGGTTTCAGTGTTCACTCCACGACAGGATTCCAGCACTGCATTGTGACTAGTCTCTTCTACTTTTTGTGAATCAGGACAAGTTGCCCCTCTCCGGGTACCTCATGAAGAATGAGCCCACCCCTCTCCACATGAAAGTGGACTTTGTGGTACCTTCTTCTGTGGCTGGGACACATGGCTGGTGATACCAGCACTATGCCTTGACCTTTGTCAGGGGTGACATGTGAAGCCTGTAACAGGGTGTGGTCTGTCAATGTGGCAGTCTTGGCAGGGGTATGTCTGGGCTGAGAGGACACAGGACACAGTTGAGGAGCCTTCTGGGACCTGGCTAACCCACTTGTTGTTTTCAATGTAGCCAGCACCATGGTATCTGCTAAGGCCCTCTATGTCCTCCAGCTTCTACCAGCCACCAGTCTGCATTCTGTCCCTGTGGCCTGGACATTGTCATAACTAGTCTCAGACACAGCATGGCCTCCTGTGTCTGGCCGGTCCCTGAGTGCCATGCTTTTAAGGTTCACCGTGTGATGGTGTGTGCTGCATGTCTGTGTATTGCCATACTGTGCCGCCCTGTGCACATCCTATACTTGCCACAAGATCTGCATGGCCTCGCACAGGGCATTGCACCAGGTTCAGACCTTGGAGTATGGCGTGTCCATGGCCACCTGGGGGAGTTCCTGCCATCTAGCTGCTCTTGTCATCCCTGACTCTCTTTCTTTCTTTCTTTCTTTTCTTTTTTTTTTTTTTTTTTTTTTTTTTTGGTTTTTCGAGACAGGCGTTCTCTGTGGCTTTGGAGGCTGTCCTGGAACTAGCTCTTGTAGCCCAGGCTGGTCTCAAACTCACAGAGATCTGCCTGCCTCTGCCTCCTCTGGGATTAAAGGCATGCGCCACCAACACCCGGCCCCTGACTCTCTTGAGCTGATCGCTGTGTGGCTCTTTGTCTATAGGGGGATGACAGTAGTAGCCATAGCTGGTAGCCAGACATCTTAAGGCTTTGGATCCTTACGCTCTATATGGCTACCCAGACTCCCCAGGCTTCTAGACCTCATCTCCTGGGCGGCATCTCTGCCAGGCAGGAATGTAGGTCAGGGCTAAGAAACATTTTTCTTTTTATGTATATGATACTTGCTCGTATGCATATATGTACACCCCGTTTGTATCTGCTGCCCTCAGAGGCCAGAAGAAGGTGTCATATTCTCTGGAAATAGAGTTACAAAGGGTTGTGAGCCTCTGTAGGTGCTAGAAACCAAGCCTGAGTCCTATGTAAGAGCAGCAAGTGCTCTGAGCCAGCTCTTCAGCCTCCAAGAAACATTCTTTCAAACTGGGCTTGAGACCGGAGTCCTGTACTGGATCCCTGCCCCGTGCCTTCCTTAAGACACAGGCCTGTCCTTGCTGATGACCCTAACGGTTGACTTTGTGTGCTGACCTTTCGTTGACACAGGCCAGCAGATCCCAGCGACTTCCTGATGCTCTTTGAAGGTGGCGCCAGTGGGAGAAGGAGGATGGCCAGTCCTAGCAAGGCGTCCAGTGAGAAGGAAGCCTCTTGGAATGTCCTGGTAAGGGTGGGGTATGGTAACCACGAGTCCCAGTAATCCTGCTAGGGTCGCCATCTGGCTCCTTCCACATCCTTCCTGCAGAGAGAGGGGCAACTGCAGGGAGGGTATGTCTTGGGCTTGGTGAGCTTCAGTTCCAACACTTGGGGACCTCAGCTGCTGCCTCGTGGCGTGTAAGAGCCTGCTGTTGGTATTGGGCTGTGCTCCCGGTGTCCCAGGCTGAGAAGTGTCCATGTGATCCACAGGATGACCAGCCTAGGGGCTTTGGTCTGCCAGCCAGTGTCCAGAGTCCCAGCACCCTTGACTCTGCCTTGGGCCCACGGAGGAAGGAGTGTGCCCTGGCGCCCAGCTTCACTGTTAACAACAGGTATCATTCCCCCAGACGCTCCTGGCCCAGGAGCTCTTGTCCTTTTCATCTTCTATGTATCACGCTCCTCTGTAATGAATGGAGAAGTCAGTGACTGAATGAACGGCTTCCCCCTCAGCCACAGGAGGGGGCTATAAAGTGGTATCCTGCACAGAAGGGACCTTTGGCCACTGTTTAAGGGTAGCGGCTGTGCCCAGGCCCAGCAGGCTTTCTGGGACGCCCCTCTCCCTTGGGGCGCCTTTCCTTCTAGAGGCCTGAGTCACCCAGCTGTGCTTTCTGGAGATTTCAGGTCTAGGAGGCTCCCTCAGGGCTGGCTGTACCTGACTTGGAAGGTTCATCAGATTTGGGGAGGTGGGACTGTGTCACCTTGGGGCCCCCAACCTGCCTGCCAAGGAAGGGTGAGCCTGTGTCAGAGCTGTGTTTGCCCCTCTTGGGGGCATGCTCCCCAGGGACATGACAGACCAAAGCATGTCTGAGAGCAGTATCCAAGATGGCAGGTGCTGGTGCGGTGTCCTTCCTGATAGCAAGACACTCCAGGCCACCTCCAAAGCAAGCATGCCTCCCTGGACCTTGGGGTCAGGAGACACTATCCATCTCCTTTGGGTGCAAGAAAGGGTTTTTCTAACCCAGAAAAGGCTTGGCCACTGGGGTGTGGGCCATGGGTCCTGGAGGTGCTTGATCATCGTCACAGTCCTCACTGAGGTATTTTACATGAGTGTGTGCCACAAACAACCTGACTGTGTCCTCCAGACTGACGCCCTCCCTGTCACTCTGACAGGAGCAACAAAGGAGCCGTGGGTAACTGTGTCACCACCATGGTGCACAACCACTATAGCTCCTTGAAGAAGGCGTCACCTCCCAAGAGCTCCAACCAGACAGCCCCCTCCCTCAAGTAAGTAAGACCTGCTTACATGCACACAGGAAGCACTGGCCTGGGGGTGGGCCCCAGGTGGGGTGCGCAGTGTGAGCGTGTGAGGATACTGGCCCCGTGGCAGGGCTCTTGGCTCTTGTGACGTTGCTGTTCCCATCTGGGCTAAGGCATCTCCCTGGGGAGAACAAGCAGCTGATTGGGGAAGCTCTGGTCTCTGCTCAGGGTGGAGCCTTGACTCACATACAGAACCAAAAGGGTACCACAGTTTGGGATAACCGAGAAGCAGACACACCCTCTACCCTTGAGTCAGTGGTCCTCAGAGCTCTTGAGGCCGTCTGGTTCTGGACTCCTCTGTTGAGAACTTCTTTCTGTCTTTAATGTACAGTACTTTTTGTGTACCTGGGTGGCAGTCAGTGGGCCTTGGGCATACAGGTAGTTTTGGGGACCAGCAAGGTGGAGCCAAAGGGCCGACCTTTCACCATGGCCTGTAGGTCTCCTCCAGTCTTGGAGCCATGGATGGCTCAGGGACCCTGCCCAGAGCTGGGGACAGAACTAGGGGTTCTTTTTGTCCTGTCAGCAATATCATCAAGGCCGCAGCTCACGAGAGCACCGAGGGCAGTGACTTTGGGAAGCCTCGGAAGAACTTCTCTGGTGGCAGTCACTCCACCCGAGGCGCCACCAGCCTGCTGAGGCGGAAGGAAGTTACTGAGGAGGAAGCTGAGAGGTGACTGCTCACAGGGAGAGGAGGCTTGGGAACCTATGACTCCAATGATAGGAGTTTCCACTCAATAGTTGGCTTGTGTATAAAATGCAAAGACAAAATGAGTATATGGGGGGAGGGGGCTGTGGTTGTTTGGGGCTTGCCAGGAACCAGGATGCCACAGGGATTGTTTTTAGGGTGATGGGAATGTTCTAGAATTGGATTGTGCTGATGGATGCACAACCCTGTAAATTTGCTTTAAAAAGCATTGAATTGTACACCACAAATGGGAGGGTTTTATAGTATGGTAATTATACATCAGGAAAACTGGTAATTAGAAACACATTTAGCAGAAAGAAGATAAAAGACTGAGGAGAACAAAACACCTGCCTGTGGGGCTGTCCTTGATAGTGCCCTCTGGGGCTACAGGGGTGGGCACAGGCACACCATTCTGTAGCTACCATGGTGGCACCTTGCCAGCCCCCCTTAGTGGGTGAATAGCTGCATTGGAGCCTCCCAGGCTCCACCCAGACCACCTACCTAGCCTGTGACTCAAGGCTGAGTGTAGGGAGGAGCCCTGCAAGTAGACAGTGGCTGGGAGGTGAGGCCAGGAGCATTTGGCTCCCCAGAGCCCTTGGTGTTTCCTTGTGGATGGGCCTCATCCCACAGCCAAGGCTCCTGTGGTAGGTAGCTGCAAGTTCTTGGACCTCTGCTACCGTCCTCAGTAAATGGATCCACTCACAGTCCTTCTGGTCAGGTTGACAGGTTTTTCTTTAATTGGATTTATTGAGTTTTTATTTTTTCCTCTTACAGTACTGGGATGGGACCCAGCCGCTTGCATATGCTCAGCAGGAGCTATACCTCTGGGCTTTACCCCCAGCCTGTCAGGTTTAGCTTTAAAATGTACCCACTTGACAAATGTATGTGGTAGTACAAGCTTGCATTCCAAGCATTTCGGGTAGAGATAGGAGAATCAGGAGTTCAAGGTTGTCTTCAGCTACATGGTGAATTTAAGGCCAGAGTGGAATACATAAGACTCTCTCAAAAACAAATAAGTGACCAGGTGTGGTGGCACATGCCTGTAATCCCAGCTCTCAGGAGGCAGAGGAGGAGGATCTCCATGAGTTCAAGGCCAGCCTGGGCTACATAGAGAGACCCTATCTTAAAAAATAAGTAACACTGAAAATAGACTATTTCAACTTCCCTCAATTCCCTCAGCCCACACCGACCCTGTGTGTGTCCTTGTGCGCCCTGACCTAGCAGCCACTGACCTGTTTGTTTTGTGTTCTTAGCACGGCTCACTGGTGCTGGCCCTTGCTCCCAAGCAGTAACCGTTGCCTGGGAGCATCACCGTTCACACTGTGTTCCATCACCATTGGCCATTCGCTTTCTGATGATTGAGCACAGAGCCATCCAAATGTGCTATAGACTGATTCTTGTGTCCCCCGGTAGCTTCCCAGGAGGGCGGGCTCAGGTTTTAAAGGAATCCAGAGGGCTGGCCTTCCACATCACAGCCTGGTGGGAAAGGGCTGTGTGTAGCCCTTTCTCTCCATCTGGACACAACTAACAGGTTCTTGTTCTAGGGCACAGGGATGTGGGGACCCCTTCTGGTCCTGACTCTGGTTCTTTGGACAGGTTTATCCACCAGGTAAACCAGGCGGCAGTCACCATCCAGCGCTGGTACCGCCGCCAGGTACAGAGACGCCAAGCAGGAGCGGCAAGCCTCGAACACCTGCTGGCGTCCAAGCGAGAGGTCAGTGTGATTGTGTAAGCTAACCTAAGCTCACCCAAAGGCTGAGCATGGAGTCTTCGGGGGTCTGACAGTGCACAGTGGAGTTTTGTTGAGACAAACCAAATGGAGTCAGACCTGGTGCATAACCCTTCTGTGGGCCCTGCTTGGTTCTTGGAGCTATTGTTGGGGTTGTTGTGTCAAGAGACCAGCCAGGGCCAGGATGACACCCCGAGCAAGCTCCTGGTTGCGTGCTACAGAGATGTCACCTTCTGATATGCCTCCCCGCATCTCAGGGTGGGGCGGGCTCTCTTTTGAGCTAAGGGGGCAGGTCCAGCATCCTAGGGATCTCATCTCTTCTCTGCTAGTGAACTCTGCAGATTCCCATGACTCAGGGTCCTGTGGAGACCTACCAGCTGGTTCCAGGGCTCTGTCACCTTTCAGTTCTGTAAAGTTCATGGCATTGGCTTCCCTGGCAGGGGCAGAGGCAACGGCTGGGTAGGGGGAACCTTCTGGACCTGCACCGGCAGGAGGAGACAGCAAGGAAGAAGGCCCGGGAGGAGAAGGCTCGCCGGGCCAGGCAGGCAGCCATTCAGGTACCGGGTACCCCAGGTAGCATCCATTCTGCATGACACCAATACCTGGAAACACCGAGCCTCAGGGCAGCTGGGCCGCTGAGGGGTAAGGGGACATGGTGCTTTAGGCAGCCACTTAGAGATGCTCCTCCATCAGGAACTGCAACAGAAACGAGCCCAGAAGGCAAGCGAGGCTGAGCACAGGCCACCTAAGGACAGACCGGAGACCAGAGCACCAGGACAGCCTCGACCCATGCAGGAGCCGCCCCTGGTGCCAGGCAGTGTTACCCACCCGGCCCTCAAGGCCAACAATGCTAGTGAGTGGTCCCCAGTCTACCTGCTTCTGGGAGGTCCACGTTGGGAAGGAGCTGCACGCTCTGCCGGCTTCAATCCTCCTGCTGTGGCCAAGCTTGGTGACTTGCTCCTGCAGAATCGGGTTCTCGGCCCCAGGTCATCACTCCCCACCTCTGCTAATGCCTGGGTCACTTGTGGCACTGGACTTGAGAGTGTCCAGACCTTGACAGATCGTCCTGGCAGTGGGACCTGTGCGACCGAGGCCCAGCATTAGGGGTTGTACATGCTCCCCTGCAGCTTCATCCCCTGAAAGGCCAGGAGGCCCCTCAGTGTCTCTTTAAGCTTCTACCTGGCTCCTTCCCAGGGCACCTCCACGTTCAGGCCGTGGGAGGGATGACACTGTTGTGTTTTACAGATGTCAGCGTCTACCCTACAGGCCCAGGAGACCCCTGCCCTCCTGCCTCTGAGTCATTCCCACAGCCCCAGCAGCCTCCAGAGGACAAACCACAGGTCTGGACACAGTGACCTTTCCCCTCTGATTTTTGGCTTTGGGGTATGTCTGTGCCTGGGTGGCCTAAGCTGACATTTCCCTGCCCTCTCTTCAGCTTTGGGGGTCCCTGTGTCCTGAAAGGATGCCCACAGGGCTCCTGTCGTGATGCAAGACAGCAGCCTGGTCATCTTGCTGGGGTGGGGTATCAGAGCTGCTCTGGAATCCTGCTGGGAGTTCACATTCTCCAGGGGAGGGAGGGTTCCTATGTCCCCCTCCATGAAAGAGGAACTAGAAGTTCAAAGGGGACAGCAAGGCCACAAGGCTGCTTAGTGTGAGACTGAGCAGGGGCCTTTCTCCCCCAGGAGGTCACCTTGAGATACGTGCCAAGTGGTAGGTGCGTGCGCTGACCCTTGGGGATAGGTACAGAGGCCCCTGCCCAGCAGCACTGGGTGGGCCTTGTACGTGGGGCGGCTTTGTCACCACTAGCCTACTGGTCTCCCTCCTATAGGCCATCCATTCCCAGGATGCAGCAAGAGAGGACTTGGAAGTGTTGGGCACTGCTAGGGGCAAGGCCAGGGCCAGGGCAACCCTGGATGAGCTGCTAGACACACTGAGGATACTGGAGGAGGAGCCTGAGCCGCTGCCCCGCCCCAGGACCTATCACAAAGACAGATACGCCTGGACAGATGAGGTGAGTGGGCCCTTGGCACTGACAACCATCTGCAGAGGCCAGGAGGCCTCCACAGGGATCAGGCAAGGTGGGTGCCACCGTGTTCCTGCTTTAGTCAAGACCTTAACAAGGGCCAGATGTGGCCTGTTGACCTCTGCTACCTCTCCCTTCCCCTCTGGTCCTTGAGCTTAAGACACAGTGAGCCACAGGGTTCGCAGCTCCCTTGTTTCAGTGATGTTTTCAAAGGTGTGAGCAGTAGGAGGCCCTTCCTCCACAGTCATCATTACCACCCTCCTCACTGCCTCCCCCACCCA